GTTGAGGATGCTGTGAGCTATAATGACGCTGCAGCACCTGGGGTGACAGAATGAAACTGTCTAAAAAAAATAAGTAAAGAAATAAATAAAAGCTGCTAATGTCCCAAAAGGAGGCAGACAGACAGAATGTGCCTATTGATAGGAGGCTATAATTCCACTCTTGCCTCATTATTGCTCCCTCCTCTTCCCACTGCCAAATTTGATCAAGCCTCTGGCTCTGAGTACTGATTTATGGAAAATATAGTGAGTAGTAGAACAGTTGGGTCGCCAGAAGGAGGCAACCAATGAAACCAGACGCTGAATAACTCTGTATAAGACAAAGGCTGAGTCTCTTGATGAATGTGCTGTAAAAAAAAAAAAAAGAGAGAGACTTAGAAGAGGGGAGGAAGTAGAAGGAATTATAGACCATGTATAATTATAGACCACGTATAATGTGTGGATCTTATTTGGATTCTGATTTGATAAAATAATTTGAAAAAACCATTTGTAAGACAATTGGGGAAATTTGAACATGGACTATGTATTTGATATTAAGGATGATTGTTAATTTTTTTAAGTTGTGATGGTGTTTAGTGGCTATGTAAAAAGTTACTTTTTAGAAGATATATACTGAAATAGGCTGGGCTCAATGGCTCATGCCCATAATCCTAGCACTCTGGGAGGCTGAGGTGGGCAGATCGCCTGAGTTTAGGAGTACCAGACCAGCCTAAGCTAGGGTGACACCCCATCTCTAAAAACAACTGGACGTTGTGGTGGGTGCCTGTAGTCCCAGCTAGTGGGGAGGCTTAGGCAAGAGAATCACTTGAGCCCAAAAGTTTGAGGTTGCTGTGAGCTATGATGACACAGTACTCTACCAAGGGTGACAAAGTGAGACTCTGTCCCCCCAAAAAACTGAAATATATATGAATGAAATTGTAGGATATCTGGGATTGGCTTCTTCTTCTTCTTCTTCTTTTTTTTCTTTTGAGACAGGGTTCATTCTGTTACCCAGGCGAGAGTATCTTGGTGTCAGCCCAGTTCATGGCAACCTCAAACTCCTGGGCTCAAGCAGTCTTCCTGCCTCAGTCTCCTGAGGAGCCGGGACTATAGGCACCCGCCACAATTCCTCCTGGCTAATCTTTTCTCTTTTTAATAAAGATGGGGTCCCAAACTCTTTAGCTCAAGTGATCTACCTAGCTTGGCCTCCCAGAGTGCTAGGATTATAGGTGCGAGCCACTTTGCCAGCTCTGGGATTGGCTTCTAAACGATCCTTGATTGGGCAGGGTGGAGTTTGTGAGGGCATAGGCAAGGTGTTGTCAAATTATTTGTAAATGTCCAGGTAGTAACTATGTTAGGCTTTACTGGGCGTATGGTTTCTGTCACAGCTGCTCAACTCTACCTTTGTAATGTAAAAGCAGCCGCAGACAATATATACACAAAATGGGTATGGTCATATTCCAGTAAACTTTGAAATCTGGTTACAAACATAGATAGCAGATTGGAGTTAGCCCACAAGTTATTATTTGCTAACTGCTATCCTAGATGAAACAGATTGCTGTGAGGTAACAGTTTTGATGCTAGAGTAGATGAGCATTCATTATGACATTTTCTCTACTTTATGTATGTGTGATGTTTTTCATAATAAAAAATAACGTGGGCACCTTTTGGATAAAATGATGGTAAAAGGAAGTTGGGGCTCTTTTCTTTGTTTTGTATGCCCCTCTTAATTAAACTTAGCCAGAATGTAGCTCTATCTAGAGAAGGATTTTTGTTTTTTGTTTTGTCTTTTTAAGTTCTCAAGAAGTGAGAGAACTTTACATCTTGAAATGTAATAATCCACTAGTTTCTCAGTGTTCTGTGGCTGACATGAGTAATCAGTCTTTTATTTCCTCATCTAGGTATCAGGGATAAAGTGTCCAACTGGGGTGAGTTTCTACAGCAGACTTTGATGGGAGCATGTAGTCCTCCTGTTCCACTGCTAGAGGGCGTGAGTATTACTGCATGACAGATCAGTGTGGAAAACCCATCTACTCTTCCTAGGAATCTTAAAGTTGGTTGTTAATTTGCCACCCTGAAGCAAATAAACATTATTACTACAGACGTAGCCATAGGTTACTCATAAGTAATCTTACCCGCAAAGATTATAAATTGGTGGCATGCTTGGGGCTTAAAAAATTTCTGAATTAGTTGCTAACATATAAAAATGTAGTTTTGCAAATTCTTTTACACAGTTGGAAAATGAGGCCTTTTGAGGCTTTCACTCTAGAACTAAGCAGGGGTTGATTCTGCTTCAGGGTGGGCATTTGTAACTCCCATGCCAAGTGACTTGAGATGCCCTTTTCTTTTGTTTGGAAGGCACTCGACCCATGTACTCCGACCTCCTGCCTTCTCCTAGTACCTTTTTAAAGTTAGTATGGTATGGTTTTTGAAGTTGTTAGTAAAGATAGATTTCTTGATTTTGTGAAATTAATTTATTGGTTATGACTGGTTATTGGTTTCTAAGTTACATCCACTCACTTTCTGTCATACTGGTAAAATTCTTTGTGGCATATATGAAATGCAGTACATCCTTGCCAACACTTGTTGTCTTTTTATGAAAGCTATCCTAGTAAGTATAAAGTGGTATCTCTTTTTTTTTTTCATTTCCCTAATGGCTAATGATATTGACCATGTTTTTGTTTATAGGCCATTTGTGTGCTCTTTTTGAGAAATGTCTTTGCCTATTTTTAAATTGTGTTATTTGTCCTTTTATTATTGAGTTCTAAGAATTCTTTATACATTCTGTATACAAGTACAGATCAGATGTTATTTATAAATATTCTTCCCCATTCTGTGGGTTGTCTTATCATTTGCAGCATAGAAGTTTTTTATTTTGATTTACTCCAATTTATATATATTTTTTTGCTTGTACTTTTGTTTTTGTTTTTGTTTTGTTTTGTTTTTTGCAGTTTTTGGCCAGGGCCAGGTTTGAACCTGCCACCTCCGGAATATGGGACTAGTGCCCTACTCCTTTGAGCCACAGGCACTGCCCTTGCTTGTACTTTTGGTATTGTATCTGAGAAGGTTTTGCTTAACCCAAGGTCAAGAAGTATTACTTCTATATTTTCTTTGAAGTTTATTGGTTTAGCTCTTTTTCTTTTCTTTTTTTTTGAGACAGAATCTCAAGTTGTCACCTTAGGTAGAGTGCCATGGCATCATAGCTCATAGTAACCTCTAACTTGGGGTCAAGAGATCCTCTTGCCTCAGTCTTCCTATTTTTAGTAGAGATGGAGTCTTGCCTTTGCTCAGGCCAGTCTTGAACTTGTGAGCTCAAGTGATCCACCTGCCTCAGCCTGACAGAGTGCTTGGATTACAGGTAGTGAGCCACGGCGCCTGGCCTATTAGTTTAGCTCTTAACATTTATTTCTGTGATCCATTCATATTTCCTTTTAAATATTGACTGGCAAATACTGTTATTTCAAACTTTTTTTTATATTATGATTTATTTCATTATGGTTAGCAAGGTCATGGCACATAGTAAACCCTCAGTACAATTTGAATGAGTTAATGAATGGCATGATGAACAAATGAACTAATAAATTATCCTGTTGTCCATTGACCGTGATCCTGCCAATCTAACTTTTACCTGTGAATGTATTCTTCCTTTTGTTCCTATGTTCTCTTGTATGTTCATGTAGGTCAGTGTCACAGAGTAGTTTTTACTACCAACAAAATGTAAGGTTGAGTAGTAAGAATGGTTAAGCTTTGGAATGAGTGTTTCTTTTTCTATCCTTTAATATAGTTTTTAATATACCAGGGGTGCCAAAAGTGTATATACATTTTAAGAGATGTTATCTTCAAAGTTGAATTGAATTATAGTAGCGATATGTGTTCTGACATTTGCTCAAAAAATGGCCTTTATCAAATGAATGCTAACATCACCATGCAACAGGCAGGACAGTCAGAGAAAATGGCAGAAGCATGAGTTGTTACTAGAGGAGCACAAGACCATTTTGAAGTGGTATTTGAAATTCAAGAACATTGTGGATGTGCAATAACAATGGAGGCACGAGTATGCAGTAGGACTTCCAGTACACCTAACAATTACACGCATTCATGATTAGTTTGAGATGCATGATACAGCAACAACACTTTCCACAGGAGGTCTACCAAACAATGTGCCCGTGAGACAGGAGGTGGTCGAACAAACATATGAGGGTTCTTAACATAAAAATGGAGAGTTTTCATCCCAAGATTATTATATCCACCCATGTAGACAACTCTGATTGAGGGTGCACTTCTGCTGCGATTTGAGAGTTTATCCCAGTGAGAATTTGCCAGGACAATGGATAGGACGAAGAAGTGCAGCCGAGTTTCCCCCTCATTCTGCTGACTTAACACCCCTTGACTTCCACCCAGGGGGACCTTAAAGGATACAATATACTATAGAAACCAGCTGCACTGTCAGTACTTAGGGAAGAAATTGAAATGGCATACGTAGCGACACAAGTGGACAGTGTGGTCAGTGTTGCTCAAGGAGTAATTTGCTGTAATCAGAAGTGTCTGGATGCTGATGATAACCACTTTAAGCCTCTCTTGTAATTGCAGATGTCAAACATGACTTATATTCATCTTTTGTTATTGGTATATATTATTACAATTTTAATACAGTTTTTTTCTTTTCTTAAAATGTGTACACTTCTTTTGGGCACCCTCTGTATACCTAGCAAGAGTTAAAACATTTCTATCAGTCATCAAAAGCTTTTACTGTGTTCATGTATGGGTATGGTGGCTCAACGTCTGTAATCCTAGCAGCCTGGGGAGGCTGAGGCTAGAGGCTTGAGGTCAGGAGTTTGAGACTGGCCTGAACAAGAGCAAGACCTCCATGTCTAGAAAAAAGAGAAAAATTAACGAGGCGTGGTGACACATGCCTGTAGTCCCAGATATTTAGGAGGCTGAAGCAGGAGGATTCCTTGAGTTTAAGGTTGCAGTGAGCTATGATGACGCCATTGCACTCTATAGGCCAAGGCGATAGAAAAAGAAAGAAAGAAAAAGAGCAACAACAGTGTTATGAAATAAGTAACAAAGAAATCAGGAATAGCTGAAATGCTGTCAGTAGGTAGGTGGATAAATTATTGCCCATTTGTAACATAGAATATCATAAAACACTGTAAAAGATGAGGAAGATTTGAATATGCTGTAATAGAAGCATATCCTGTGATTGTACTAAGTGGAGAAAAAATTGAGAAGCAACATGCAGTGCTCCCATTTTTCAAAAAAATAAGAGAGAGATGGACTGGTTGAAGTGTATATTGACTTTTGTGTTCAAAAAGAGTATCCCAGAGTGTTTATCGTGGTTCTTTCCCAGAATTGGGCTTATGGGAGACTTTGACTTTTGTCCATGTTTGATTTTTTTTTAATGATATATAACCATAGACAAAGTAATGATGATATTTTTTAAATTTTTGATAAATGAAACTAAACATTCTTAGAGAAAAAGACCTATTAGAATAATTTTGTTGGATTAATGGTAGATTTTCTTTAAGATAACATTTTCATATTACCTGGAAATAATACTATGAAAGACTTATATGATAGTAGACAATTCAGTGTCACTGGCTTTTGAGTGGGTAAAAAAGTATGAAGATTGGTTTGAGATCATTTAGAACTTGAATTTTATAAAATTACTATATTTACTTCTCCTATTTAATCATTTCACTTTTTAAACTTACAGCTTCGTAATGGAAGGAATCCTTTAGATCTCATTGCTCCAGGATCCAGGCTAGAATGTCAAGATTTCCGGGACTCTTTAAGTACTTGGATTGTTACTGTAGTAGAAAACATTGGTGGAAGGCTGAAGCTGCATTATGAAGGACTTGAAAGTTCTGACAATTTTGACCATTGGTTGTATTACTTGGATCCATTTCTTCATCATGTTGGTTGGGCTGCTCAGCAGGGATACGAGCTTCAGCCCCCATTAGGTGAAGAGTAATAGAACATTTTTCTTGTAACTATTACATTATTGTTATGTTGTTATTAATATGTATGAGACTAAAAAATATGTTATTTAATATATTAGAAAAACCTTTGCTAGTTCACATACTAGGGATATTACAAGAACGTTTATGTGGAATTGTTAAATTAAATGCCTATTGTTCTTTTGATTTCATTGCTTTTATAATTTTCCACACATATTGATATACTTCATAGACTTCTGTCCCAACCCATATTGATGTTGAACCAAAATAAATTAAAATAATTCTCTAGGTAGCATTTAGGTAGGTATATAGAAAATTGAGTTCATAGCAAATTGTTGGTTAAAATAAATTCTAATAATATTAAAACTTGAGTTATTGTTTAAATCAATTTGCATTTATTGGCTCAGCGCCTGTGGCTCAAGCGGCTAAGGCGCCAGCCACATACACCTAAGGTGGTGGGTTCGAATCCAGCCCGGGCCCGCCAAACAACAATGATGGCTGCAACCAAAAAATAGCCAGGCGTTGTGGTGGGCGCCTGTGGTCCCAGCTACTTGGGAGGCTGAGGCAGTAGACTCACTTGAGCCCAGGAGTTGGAGGTTGCTGTGAGCTGCAATGCCACAGCACTCTACCCAGGGGGATAGCTTGAGGTGGCCTAGTCCAGTGGAAAGTGACTTTTTATGTGAATGCTTTCAGAATAGTTAAGAAGTATATAGGTTTTCTGATCATCTAAAGTATGTTGTTACATTTTATTAAAGCCATCAGACATTTGAAAAATGAAGCTGAGTGGCAAGAGATTTTGGTCAAAGTGAAAGAGGAGGAGGAAGACCCACTACCATCTTATTTATTTAAGGTAAAAACAAAAACATGTGCTAGAGCGGTCCTTACAGCCAGAGTAAAGCAATTTGGGAAGGTGAAAAGCATAAAATAACTCCCCACCCACCCCCATCCCCCATCCCCCATAGTTAGTAGGAGTGCCATGACTTCTGAAGGAGAAGGAGAAGTTAAGGCTGGACTTATGATCATCCTTGTTTTTTTCTAACAATTGTCTTGATTTTCTATCCAGGTTTTCTTACAGTAGTTTGAATCTTTTCTACTCTTAGCTACATAGGCCTACCTTATATTAATAAAATTAATATGGTTTTGATCCTCATAATCCCATAGTATGTTCCAAATATAGAGAATAGGAGCACTTTCTGTGCTCCCAAAAACTCCCAAAAAAGTTGTAGTATGTTCCAAATATAGAGAATAAGAGCACTTTCTGTGCTCCCCAAAACTCCCAAAAATGTTTTTCCTGAAGAGAAAATGATAGGATTTACCAGAAGCTGGGCAGTTCCATTATTTTAATCAATTAGAATAGTATTCAATTACATATGAGTATACAATTAATATAAAAGTACTATAGTTTTATCCCTTTTGGTGTTTGCATTACAGGATAAACAAGTTATTGGCATTCATACTTTTGCTGTAAATATGAAATTGGAAGCAGTGGACCCCTGGTCTCCTTTTGGAATCTCTCCTGCTACCATCGTTAAGGTAAAATGGAACTAAGTCCATTGATAAGAATCCCTGTCAGTGTGACTGGTTTAGGAAATTGTTAGTGTTTTGATCTTCAGCCTCTACTTATCTAACCCATTTTTTGTCCTAAGCTTGTGAGGCTAGAATTACTTCTGTATTTGTATTGCTCTGTTCTCTGTGGCCCCTTCCTTCTTCAGAGCTTTGTAATCCTAACCAAAGCAGACAAGGGCCTGGACACTAGAGTAGTAGGGACCTGGAGGCCTAGCTGTATCGACGCGGAGAAGATTAAATGCTTAGTAGACTGTAGTATCTGTGAAGTTGAAGGCAGATAGTGTCATCAGGGTCTAGCTAGGTATAGGGCTTACTGGGATGAGCAGGAGGATCAGGGAATTACTATCATGTGATCTGGTGGTAGGATATTCCAGATTCAGATTTTATCTTTTGAAAGACTGGCAAAAGGCTCAAAGCATGGTGGCTCACAGCTGTAATCCTAGCACTCTGGGAGGCCAAGATGGGAAGATCACTCGCGGTCAGAAGTTTGATATCAGCCTGAGCAAGAGCAAGATCCCATCTCTTCCCAAAATAGAAAAATTAGCTGGGCGAAGTGGTATGTACCTGTAGTCTCAGCATACTTGGGAGGCTGAGGCAGGAGAATCACTTGAGCCCAGGAGTTTGAAATGTCAGTGAGCTATGATGACACCATTACACTCTACCTAGGGCAACAGGGTGAAACTTTATCTCAGAAAAAAAGAAAATAAGTAAGGCTCTTGTTACAGGTAACTGCAAGAATTGAGCAGGTTATCAAGGCACATTTACTCAGTTACTCCAGCTGAGGCATTAGGGAGAAGATTTGGTTTAGGGGCCAGAGCAGAAGCTCATTTACTAAAAGGAGACCCAAGGTTAAATGTGACAGTAGGCATAGTCACTTGGGTGCTGAATAGGGTGACCAGATTTTAACATTGGTAAAGCAGGACAACATGGGGGGGGGCAGGGCAGAGCCTGACAACAATGCAAACTTTAATAAGCAGTTCTCGATAATCACTTCTCAACAATTATTTGTTATTACAGTTTAACATTATAAAATTAACAAAAATAATATAAAACTCATATCCTGGTGAAATAGCCACATGGCAGCTGAAAACCGCATATTCCTTTCCTCTTCTCCTGTCCATTCACACATTCTTTCCAAAAATCGGGACTTTTTTAAAACACCACAGGACACACAACAAATTGTTAAAAAGTGAGACGTCTGGTCACCCTAGTGCTGAATAATCTGACTTGTTAAGATTTAAATTTTTCCCATCTTAGAAGAAGATTCTTAGAGAAAGGGATTCTGAACCTGCAAGTAGGGTCAGAGGCCCTATTTGGAGTCTGAAGGGATATGGAATGGTAAGAAGCCAGAGATGGTTCAAAAAATTCTCTCTTTGGTATTTGAAACTAAGCAAGCTAAGATCTGAAAACCTAATACATACTAGTGTAATTGAGTCCTCACTAAACTTAAAACCGAATTTTGTTTGGAGATAACTACTTGGGTTTGAATCTAGCTTCTTTTCTTTCTGGCTTTGTAGCCAGGGCAATTTATTAAATTCTCTTTAAACTCATTTTCCTTCTCTGTAAAATGGAGTTGATAATGGTACTTACCTCATTAGATTGTAGGAAGATTAAAACTAAATTGATACATGAAAGCACTTAATTAAAATAGTAATTATATGTTTATATATTATATGCAGAGCTATCATTTATGGAGTGTTTGGTATTAATACTCTGTGACTATGAACTTTTGTAACATGTTTGACTATGCCAAGGAAAAAGCACATGTACCGTGTGCACATATATATGTACACACAGTACTCAGTATGCATATCTGAGGTAGAACAATTAAGTTTGTGAACTGATCCTAGAAAAAGTGTTGGGTGGCACCTGTGGCTCAGTGAGTAGTGTGCCAGCCCCATATACCAAGGGTGGCGGGTTCAAACCTGGCCCCGGCCAAACTGCAACAACAAAAAAATAGCCGGGTGTTGTGGTGGGTGCCTGTAGTCCCAGCTGAGGCAAGACAATTGCCTAAGTCCAGGAGTTGGAGGTTGCTGTGAGCTGTGATGCCACAGCACTCTACCGAGAGGGTGATAAAGTGAAACTCTGTCTCTAAAAAAAAAAAGTGTTACATACCTCATTGCTGGATATCACTATGGTTACCTTCCACGTGCTCCCAGTGCCTTCAAAGTCATTTTGGAACTCTTTTTCTGGAATGGCCATCAAAACTCTTATAATGTTATACTTCACATCCTGAACGTCATCAAAATGTCTTCCTTTCAATATTTCCTTTATCTGTGAGGAAAGAAAAAAGTCACTGGGGACCAGATCAGGGAGTTATTTATTAAATACAGTTATTTATTTACTGACTAAAAACTCCCTCATAGACTCCCTGTGAGTTAGTGTATTATGGTGATGCAAGAGCCATGAGTTGTTGGCCAAGATTTTCAGATTTTCCTGAAATTTTTAAGATTTTTCTGTTTCTCTATGGATAATTACTTGGTCTGCTATGTTTCTTACAGTCAGCTGATGATTTTGATGCACAATTCAATGAATTTTTGCAATGTTTGCATCGGTTGTGCTCATTACTGACTGCCCTGATCTCTTTTCATCAGTGACAGTTTCTCTCCCCTCAGAAAGATATTTAATCCATTTGTACACTGCCATTTTCTTCACAACATTATCTGCATAAACTTGGACTAACATGTCCCTGATTTAACTTCCACTCTTGTCAAGTTTAACAAGAAATTTTTGAATGTTTGTTTGTAGCTCTTACTGAATCTCTGACATTCTCGTGTTGGCACACAAAAACACACAATAACAGTAACAAACACCACTCAGCAAGATACCACCACACGTCAACACTAACACAACTGTGAGACACTGATATAACGAGGTTAGGAAATTTTACCAAGTTAATTATACAGTGCTGCCAGCGTAAGCACATGGTGGCAACTTTACAGACTTAACTGTCAGACTTTCATACATAATAAGAAACCATTTGTCTGTTTTATCTGTTACTTGCGTGCACAGGTATTTGATGAGAAGTACTTTCTGGTGGAAATGGATGATTTGCGGCCTGAGAACCACACGCGGCGATCCTTTGTATGCCATGCTGATAGTCCTGGCATCTTCCCTGTGCAGTGGAGTCTGAAGAATGGCCTACACATCAGCCCCCCTCCAGGTATGCACTGACTACTGAGTTGTTACTGGAGAGCTTTTCTCTGAAATAAGATGGGGCATATGTCATTGCCTAGTCCAGGGGTGTCCAACCTGTGGTCTGTCGGCCATATACAGATTATTTGAGGCCCATAATATTTTGCTTATCTGTGGTGTCAAATATCATGAAAATTATGCACAGACCTTTTTATGCTCATTAGCCTTCATTAGTGTTTGTGTTTTTAATGTGTGGCCCAGGACAGCTCTTCTTTTTCCAATGTGTTGGAAAAGGGAAAAAATGTCAGACACTCCTGGCTCTAGTCCCTCTCCTCATGCCCTGGTCTGTGCTAACATTTTGGGCCTTGAGACAAGTATAAATGAATTCCATGCATCTGCGTATTTGAAAGTTATAAAATCAAGCTAAAAACCTGTTGAAAAGAGTATGTTTCTTTCTTATACTTTGATATACATATCTTCATAAACATCTGGAAGGCCAGGTTCCAACTTGGGTTCTGTGCTGGCTTCTTAGTCCATCCCATCTTGTATCTGTGAGGAGGTCACAGAGAAGTGTGTAGGATGCACAATGAGCATTGGGATCTGGCTTTGAGAAGAGGCCATAGAATCCCAGCTAGAAGGTAGATTATTGATAATTTTAGGTATCTGGGCCTTAACATGGAAGAGGACTCTTCAGAGGGAAGTTTTATGGTCAGAGAGCCTATAGGCAGGAAAATAACAGCTCATTTTCCTGATATTTGCAACATACAGGTCTTTAACCCTTTAATCAGGACTCATAATTATAACATAATTGAGCTTAACTGAAATTTTTAATATTTTTAAACTTAAGAGTATCTAGAAAACATCAGATGTTTATGATTTTTTATAGTAGTAAATCCGATTATTCATTTGGCAGTTTATACATTATTAGATGTAGGCTTTTGGCAAAGCATGCTTTCACTGTCTACATAGTGACTGTTGGAATGCTGGGCTTCTGGAAGTAATCTTTGGTGTTAACAAGGATTATAAACGCAGAACCTTTTGTCCTCCATTTAGTCTTCATTCATCCAGCAAACATTTTGGGAACATTTGCTATAATCTAGGCATTGAACCTGTTACTGGAGAAACAAAAATAAATACTACCCAATTTCTTTAAGAGGCAGATAGCAGAAAATACTGACAGAACTTCTCAGGTTCTCCTTTGTCAGTGTAGGAAATGATTCCAGCAAGAGCCTTGGCAGACTTAAATGGGGAGTTAGGTTCAATGTTTTTTACGAAATGGATTCGTGGTCTGGGTTATGAAAGTATTGACTCTATTGTACAACATGAATCTGAAAATAGTGCTGAGAGCATTGTATCAGTAGTAGCTAAGATATGTTTAAGGGAATAGCTTTATCACTGATCAGTTAGTAGTATTTGCCATCACTTTTCCTCACAGCCCAAGTCCTAATAGAATTCATAATAAGACTGGATTTATATGTATACAGATCAAATCCAGTTACAACTGTCTTAAATTCTTTGGCAAATTGCTGACAACTATTCAAAATAAATGCCTTCTTTGAAATTTAAAAGTTTTGATTTACTCCAAAATCTCATTGTGTTGTTACTATGTATGGTTTGGCCAGAGTTGCTGTCTCTTATAAAACTAACAATGCTTTGGATTTATGGAATGTTTTCTACCATCTCTAAAATAATCAAAGGCATCAGCTTAGTAGCCCTGGAAGTTGTGGGTGGACCCCTGGCAGAGTGGTAAAGCCAGGCAAGTAGGTGTAGTGTGATTCGTTGTTCTTTTACCCCTCCCTAGGCTACCCGAGCCAGGACTTTGACTGGGCTGACTACCTCAAACAGTGTGGTGCTGAAGCTGCTCCCCAGAGGTGCTTTCCTTCGGTGAGAACTCCTCACAGCCCTCATGGCCGCTGGCTTCAGGGCTGCTACCACTGCTGTGCTTCTCTTGCTCCTTACGGTTGTTACTCTGAAGGGAATCATTTCACTCAACCCAATAATCACCTTGGTGATTGTAATAAATGGTCAAAAGAAAAATACATTTACTAGAGAAGTTAATCAGTTAGTCTACTAATTAAGTTAGTTTTACAGGTTTATCAGTTTAATTTTTCTTAGGAGTTGAAATCATGTGAATTTAAAATTTTATGTCATAATTATTTTTGGTATTCTGATAATATGAAAAAATGTTGACATATTAAGTGTAGAAAAATTATTAAGCTTTTACTTAAAGATACAAAGGTCCAAACAATATATGCATATGGTTTAAAAGGCCAAATAGCAGAAGGTAAAACACAGTCCCACTCTATTCCTTTCCCTAATTCTCCTTTCCTGGAAGTAACCACCTCCTGTTCTTCTGACTGTAATTCTGGCATTTGTCTTTCTTCATTTTCAAAATAATAAGCTGCTATCTTTTGAGTCATTAATTTTAGACATGTTTCTTGGTTCTATAGTATGTAAGTGAGCATTTAGGTATATTACATTACCTTTCCCCTGTGTCTTACCTTCTTCTTCCTTTAGAGTTAAAATTTTCTGTTAAATCTCAATTGAGATTTTACATTATTATATATATTCAAATACTGTTCGCAATTATTTTGCAGTATTTTATGATTGTTTCCTTTTTTATTTGTCTTCAAGTTAATCATTGCCATGTTTTTATTTGCTTAATTTTCATTTTTCTTGGTAGCTCTTCCCACATCTCCTAGTAGCGTCTCATTACGGTTTCCACAAAGGCAGTCACACCATCAAATCTGTCATTCCTAACATTTTTTTATAGGCATCCTTCTTAGCAACCTCTGATCTCTCTCCCTGGATGGGTTGCTCTCTAGGCTTGCCATATATTTTAATCATGGAACTTCCCTTCAGTGTCACCCAGGGAATTGCCCTCTCCCCTTTCTTGTGATTTGGGATCCCCTGTTTTATATGTCTCGTGGTACTTCTTTCTTGTTTTGATGGAGCCTGTCTCTCAGGAGCTTCCTGTAAGGGGGGTGCAGGGGAGATAAATTTTTGTAGATACTGTGTGTTTGAAAATGCTTTCACTATAGTAACTCAATTCATAGTTTTGCTCAATATAGAATTTTGGTTTGGAAGTTATTTTACTTCAGAATTTTGAGAACATTGCTCAGTTCTCCAACTTTTAGTGTTGCTATCAAGAAGTCAGTTGAAAGCTATTCTTATTCTTGATCTCTTATAGATGACCTGCCTTTTATTCCTTGTGGAAGGTTATAGAATCACGTTGTCACCAATTTTTGTAGTGATGAGCCTTGATGTGGGCCTCTTTTCAGCCATTGTACTGGGTTCTCAGTGAACACGTTCTCTCTGGATCCTTATGCCTGTCTGTGATTTTCTTGAATCACTTCTTTGATTTCTTTCCTTCTATTTTCTCTCTTCTCTTTCTGGACTTTCTTTTATTTTGATGTTGGCCCTCTGAATCTAACCTTTACTTTTCTTACCTTTTGTTTCCTGTCTTCTCTTTCTTAGTCTTTTCATTTTGTTTTCTGGAAGACTTCCTAAACTTTATCTTTTTTAGTTTTGATATCATGTTTTTTATTTGGGGGGAATTATATCTCTTCTTTGAATAGTTCTTTATTTTTAAAAGCATATTTTCTTGGTCTGAGTATGCATTGGTTTTTCTTATCTCTCAGAAGGATGTTAATTAACACCCCCACTCCATCCTACCCCTACCTTTTGGGAAGTTTTCTTTTTACAGAATCTCTGCTTTCTCCAAGTTGCTTGTTTTGTCTGTTTCAGTCTCTAACTTTCATCCCCTTAGCTACCTGGTAATTTTTGGTTGTTGCTTTTTTTTTTTGCCATTTTTTGCCAGGGCTAGGTTTGAACACGGCATATGGGAACGGCGCCCTACCCTTTTGAGCCATAGGCACTGCCCCCAGGTTGTATTAAGAAAAGAAGACTTGTGCTCCCTTCAGCAGCACATATACTAAAACTGGAACGATACAGAGAAGATTAGCATGGCCCTTGTGCATGGATGACACACAAATTCATGAAGCGTTCCATATTTTTTTAACCTCTTTTATGTTTACATGGATGGAACTGGAAAATATTCTTCTTAGTAAAGTATCTCAGGAATGGAAAAAAAATATCCAATGTACTCAGTACTACTATAAAACCAATTTATAATCACTCACACTTTCATATGAGAGATGAATCACAACCATAGCCCAGGATGAAGGAGGGAAGGGAAGGAGGATAGGAAGGGAGGGTAGTGGTTCAATAGAGGGAGGGTTAATGGTGGGACCTCACCTATGAAGCATATTGCAAGGGTCTAAGTCAAATCTATCAAGTATTAAACACAAATGTCTTAACACTGTGATTAAGTAAATGAGGTGAAAGCTGTGTTAATTAGTAGGATGTAAGTACTTCAATTTGTACAAATAATCAACACATTAAATCCCACAGAGGCATAAATGTATTCATGATCTATGTATATATGACTTAATAAATAAATAAATAAAAAGAAAAGAAGACTAGAGGGAGTCTATCTAACAAAATCAAATATTTTGACCTGGTTGTTTATATCCTCACATTAACCTGAAATCAAGTTACTTTAAAAAAAAAAGAAAAGAATGAGAGACTGAAAAAGCCGATTGGAAATTCTGAGCATGTGGGCAGGACTTGTCAACCATGAACTTTCTTATAGGGTAAGATCTGGCTGGCCATTTGTTGGGGAAACCTAAATCCAAATTTTTATGTGTCTCTTCTTGGGCTTGTCATATTACTATAAGGAGTCTCTTCTAGTCCTCTGCCTGGTAGTTAGAGGCAAGGGCTGGACCTCACAGCATTCCCATATGCTTACTCCTATTTTGGGTGTGATATGCGTGCTCTCAGCAGTTCCTGGTGTCCTCCTGCCCAGGGATCTTATGTCTTACCCTTCTGAGGAGTACATCTCACTTTCTGTAGCGGAGAAAAAGGGTTGCCTTGGGATGTGGAGTGGAGGAGCCAGGGGCAAGACTTACAAGCTTTTTGAATGTTTTCAACAAATTCTCGTTTTGACTATTTCTCCTCCATTTTCAGTTTCCTAGTACCTGGTTCTGTTAGTTCTTAGCTGTCGTTACTGCACCTTTCATTAATATGCTAATTTAGTTTTTACACCCTATTCTAAATTCTAATCTATAAAATGTTATTTCCTGTCCTGATACATACATCTTGTTAAGTTTTTGAACCAGTTTGATGAAAATATTTCAAATTGTGTATAAAAACAGCACACTATACCCCATGACAGTATCAATGTACACAGCTATGATTTAATTAAAAAAAAAAAAAAAGAAAAACAACTTTAGTTTAAGTGATTGTCAGAGAGGAGAGAGAACAATCAAATGCAGATGTTCACTTGTCCATTCTCTCCCCACAGCTACAACTTTTTCAATGTAAAGTTTTTCTTTTTCCCTGTTCATAAGCATTCTTTATACTGACTGTATTTCATGATAAATACTGGTATGAACCAGGCAGTTACTTATATGATAGGGCCCTTTGGGGGAGCAGAAGTGAACCAACAGTGAGCCACATGGTTCAGGGCACAGAACCTTAGATACCTCTTTTCACTGATGCCTTATAATAACCAAGCAAGATAGGTATTCTCAACTTCATCTGACAGATGAAAAATACTAAGGCAAAAAAGAAGTTCTATAGCTTGGGCCAGGTCATATAGCTAGCAGTAAAGCAGGACTATCTGACCTCAAAGACAGACATGTTGCTTCATTAAGAGCAAAAGAGCACAAAATAAATTATAGCTTTAAAGTAAACCTAGGGATAAGTACTACTTAAAAAAGGTCTTATAGCTGAACACATTGAGTTAATACTGAGTGTTAATCCAATAAATGGATTTGAGTCATTCATTTTTCTAGTCAATTTCTGAGCATGAATTTAAGGAAAACATGAAGCTTGAAGCGGTGAACCCTCTTCTCCCTGAAGAAGTATGTGTTGCCACCATTACTTCAGTGAGAGGCTCCTACCTGTGGCTCCAGCTGGAGGGTAAGTATCAGCATTCCTGAGAAGCCTTCCTGTGGCTATTCTTCTTTGCTCCTCCTTTTTTACTCCTGTACCTGTAATGTGGCTTAAACTTCTAATTTATAATGTAAGAATGTAAGCTAAAAATTTATTTTCTGTCCCTGGCTTTCAAATTTCAAATTTTAGGAAATGAATGTGAATAAAAATTCTTTACTACCAAGCCTCCCATTTGGGGGAAGGGGAAAGTATAAGCCAAATAGCATGTATTCTGATGTGACCAAAATAGGTAAGCATGAGCATTAACACCTTGTTTATTGAACATCCAGTATTTTGGTTGCGCCAACCCAATAGAACAAAGAAGTATACAAGTATAAAGTAGAAATGACATTTTACACTAAAAGTAATATCCAGTGATTGAACAGTTTATGGACTGAAGGCACTGTGTGAGTATTCAGCACCACAGTTACTATTTATGTCCCAAGTTTCCTTTTTATCTTGCTGCCAAAGGGTCAGACTCTGAGAAGGTACCTACTGTTTCTGATTTGTAGAATTGACATTTAATGCAGATTGCAAGGAAGATTTTTTTTTTTTTTGAGACAGTATCATTTTGTCACCCTTGGTAAAGCTCCCTGGCATAACAGCTCATAGCAACCTCAAATACTGTTGGGCTCAAGTGATTCTTTTGCCTCAGCCTCTTAAGTACCTACCTGTACCTGCCACAATGTCCAGCTAGTTTTAGAAATGGGCTCTCGCTATTGGTCAGGCTGGTATTGAACTCCTGAGCTCAAGTAGTCAACCCACCTAAGCCTCCCAGAGTGCTAGGATTACAGGTGTGAGCTACTGCACCTGGCCTGCCAGGAAGACTTTTTTTTTTTTTTTTTTGAGACAGTCTCCCTTTGTTACCCTCAGTAGAGTGCTGTGGTGTCACAGTTCACGGCAACCTCAAACTCTTGGGCTTAAGAGATTCTCTTGCCTCATCCTCCCAAGTAGCTGGGACTACAGGCGCCCACCACAACACGCGGCTATTTTTTGGTTGTAGTTGTCATTGTTTGGCAGGCTTGGGCTGGGTTCAAACCCACCAGCTCTATGTATGTGGCTGTTGCCCTGGCCGCTGAGCTACAGGTGCCAAGCCCAGGAAGATATTGAATGTAAACTTTTATGCAACCCCTGCTAAGCAACTTGTCAAATAAATTCCTGGTTTGAATTCACTGTTCTACTTTCTGGCTATTCCTGGAGTGACAGAACTGATGTTCTCATTGAGTAGAACTGTCACTTTTGCCTTTTGGTTTCCAGTTATTTCAAGGAATTAACTATGATATTTATTAATCATCTGAATAATAACAGTGGTAGTTCTAGTTGTTTATTGCTGTTTCCTACTAAGGGTCACCCTGCATATTTCACCTATACCCATTTTGGTCCTTATACGTTATGCATGGGGAAGAGTTTACATTTTTTCCCTAATGTTTATCATGCATGAAAAGGTCTAACTTCCGTGTAAAAGATACTTGCTCAAAGGACTTGTTTCTGTATTACTGTAAAAATACTATATTGTCTCACAAGTCATTTGTGAAGAAAGTTATTCAATGGTCTAAATTAAGTTTTTTAAAAAATTCCAAACAGGTTCTAAGAAGCCTATACCTGAATGCATTGTGAGTGTGGAATCCATGGATATATTTCCTTTGGGCTGGTGTGAAACCAATGGCCACCCCCTTAGCACTCCTCGCCGAGCACGAGGTATCTATTAGAGAACTGATTATTAAATAATTTGTTGGATGATTGCTACCAATTGGAGGTATATGGACATTTCAGAGAAGAACAAGGTGATATTCTCTTAATCTGTTCCTACATAGGAAATTCTTGTTGCAAACATTATTAATACCATAAAGTTTTTATGGGTTAGAAATCTGAGTGCAACTTACATGGGTCCTCTGGATCCAGGTCTCTCACAGGCTATAATCAAGGTGTCAGCAACGGCTATAGTCATCTCAAGGCCCAACTGGGGGAAGATTTGCTCCCAAGTTTACTCAGATGATTATTATCAAGTTTCTTAGTCCATTCTGCCTGCTATAATAAAATGCCATAAACTGGGTAATTTGCAAATAAGAACTAAATAAATAAATTTATTTCTCACAGTTCTAGATGCTGGGACATCCAAGATAAAGGTATCAGCAGATTCAGTGTCTGGTGAGGGTGCCTTGCTTGGTTGTGTCCTCTCTTGAACAGATTAGTAGGTCTCTAGGGTCTCTTTTATAAGGACACTAATCTGAATCATGAGGGAAGAGCCATCCAGAGTCCCTGCCTCCTAATAACAACACGTTTTAGTGATTGGATTTCAGTATCAATTTTGGTGGGCACAAACATTTATACTATAACAGCACAAGTTCACTCCTTGTGGGCTGTTGGACTGAGGGCCTTAGCTCTTTGCTGGGTGTTAGTGGGAAGCTTTGTTTAGTTCCTTGTCATGTGGGCCTCTGTGTAGGGCAGCTCACAGCATGGCAACTTGCTTCCATTGGAGTGAAGAAGGGAAGAGAGCTTGAGCAAGATGGGAGCCAGAGTGTTTTTGCAACCTATCTTGAAAGTGACATCCCACATCTCCCTTTTTAAACAGCTTATTGAGATATAATTTATATACCATGAAATTCACTCCTTTAAAGTATGCAATTCAGTGTTTTTAGTATAGACACAGAGTTGTGCAACTACCTCCATAGTCAATTGGAGAACATTTTCATTATTCCAGAAAGAAATCTTCATACCCATTAGCAGTCAACACCCCCTAAGCATCCAATAATAGATTTCCTATCTCTGTAGGTTTGCCTATTCTAGACCGTTCATATAAATGGAATCATATAACATATGGTCTTTTGTGATTGGCTTCTTTCACTTAGCATAATGTTTTCAGAATTCATCCATGTTGTAGTATGTATCAGTTCTTTATTCCTTTATATATAGTGGAGTAATATTGGATTGTAGGGATATACCACATTTTGTTTATCTCTTCATCAGTTGATGGACATTTTGGTTGTTTCCATTTCTTGACTCTTAAGAATAATGCTGCTGTGAACATTAGTGTGCAGGTTTTTATGTGGATGTATATTTTCATTTTCCTTGGGTGTATACCCAGGAGTGGAATTGTGAGTCATATGGTAAAAAAAAATCATAGACAAACCTAGGTCAAGAAGATTTCCCCCAGGCTTTTCTCTGAGAGTTTTATAGGTTTAGTTATGTTTAGATCTGTGGTCTATTTTGACTTAATTTTTATATATAATAAAAGGTAAGGGTTCAACTTCATTCATGTGGCTATCCCAGCATCATTTGCTAAAGATTGCCTTTTCTCCATTGAATGGGCTTGGGCACCCTTGTCGAGTCAGTTTTTGTTTTGAATATCTATTTTTGCTTATAAATATTTATAGTTGATTAACATAGGGAGCCTTAAAAAAGTGTTTGGCCTTTGTCTAAAAATTTCTACCCAGAAAATGTACCTTAATCTAGATATTTAGACACATAAGCTCTAATTTATAGTACTTGCTAGTTGTGTGTGTGTATATTGTATTTGTGTATGTGTGTGTATATATACATACACACACACACAGAATCATGATTTAAATATACTAGTGTAAGCTTAATATATATTTATATTTTTCTCTGTCTTATTATTTTTTCTTGGAATTTATATTTTTGTTTTCTTCTTACAGTACATAAACAGAGGAAAATTGCAGTGGTTCAACCAGAAAAACAGTAAGTAGTATAATAGTATGCCTGAACAATCTAAAAAAGGAAAAACCTATTTCAGAGACTATATCTCCCATGTTATATTCTCAGAAACATAATTTTTGAATTCAACTTTTAATCATTTATATACTTCTCTTACAGTATGTGTTTTTGTTAAGTGGCACCATATAGAAAAGGGTAAAATATTTTCTCAAGATGTTCCCTACATTGAGTTTAGAGCTTGATACATTTGGATAAAAGAAAGGAAATAAGCTTCCCTATGCTGGTATTTTTTAAGAAAGAGCAAAAATTGTAAATCAGGATATGATTTTTCATAGTGAAAAAATATGTACTTGATGTAGAAGACAACTGTAAAAGAAAGTCACACTCAAAGGAGTGGCTTTGTGCCCTTCCAGGTATGCGTCTTTAGCATACCTTCACACACAACTTGTAAGAAGCAGTTTATTGGTGGTACCCTCAACCTTAAAAAATACAAAGGTGTGTGTGTGCATTTTAAGACATCAGTTGTTGGCCAGGCATGGTGGCTCATGCCTATAATCCCAGCACTCTGGGAAACTGAGGCAGGTGGATTGCTTGAACTCACAAGTTCAGGACCAGTCCGAGCAAGAGTAAGACCCCGTCTTTAAAAAATCACCATCATTGTGGTGGGTTCCTGTAGTCCCAGCTACTTGGGAGGCTGAAGCAAGTGAATTGCTTGAGCCCAGGAGTTTGAGGTTGCTGTGAGCTGTGACTCCATTGCACTCTACGCAGGGGGACAGTGAAACTCTGTCTCAAAAAAACAAACAAAAAAATCTGTTGTTGAGTTTTATATTGGTCTGCTTGGGCTGCCATACAAAATGCCACAGACTGAGTGGCTTAATCCACAGATTTTTTTTGTGGGGGTGGGGGCAGTGTCTCACTCTGTTGCCCAGGCTAGAGTGCCATGACATTAGCCTGTCAGATTACTGAGTTTAAGTGGTCCTTCTGCTTCAACCTCTTGAGGAGCTAGGACTGTAGGCCCCTGCCACAACACCTGGCTTATTTTTTTCTATTCTAAAGAGACAGGGTCTCGCTGTTGCTCAGGCTGGTCTTAAACTTCTGAGCTCAAGTGATCCTCTTGCGTTGGCCTCCCAGAATGCTAGGATTACATGTGTGAGCCACTATGCTGACCAAAATTTATTTTCTCACATTCTGGAGGCAGGGAAGTCAAAGTACCAGTCAATTCAATTCC